ATAGCAGAGTTGGTCTGTCCTAAGCCTTTCACATCTTTTGCCTGGTCACATTTGTACAGACCTTCTGGCCAAAATGGGGAGCAATCTTTGGTCAAAAAACAGAATTTCCCCCATGGGAAGCCATTCTCTACTACCAAGAGTCAACGATGAACTACTTAGGTTATGTTTTGAATTCACACTAATTGCACTAGACACTTGGTCTACTTCTAGATCTATCTTTAAATGCGGGAATAAAGAGCTCAGCAAGGTCTTAGGAAAAGAAATAAGGGCTCTTCTTAATATTCAGGTGATCAGCTACATGGATGCTGATGGCTACTGACTTGCTTTAGGACAACAGAGAAAAGGACAGGCCCCCTGCACCCTGAAGACTGGAAAGGGGCTCTTTAGAGACCTGAGGATCTCCAAACCCATGCTGCAACCCTTTCCTCTTCTGTCCTGTCCTCCTGACTCTCAGGAGGACATCTCATTCCCTAGTCCCAGAAGCTCCAGGCCAGATCAGGCCTACTTCCTGCCAGGCTCATATGGGTGCCACCTTTATACCCCAGTGACCGGAAGCTCCCATGGAACTCTTTCACCTCCAAATATGAATACTTAAATGTCCTTTTCTACCATTCAATAAAGTCTTTGTGGCCACTCAAAAAAAAGAGAGAGAGAGAGAGAGAGAGAGAGAGAGAGAGAGAGAGAGAGAGAGAGAAAAGGACCCAAAAGGTTCTTCCAAATCACCTTTTATTCCAAGGTTCACTTTGGCACATAGTAGTTAGTGCCCCTGTGGCAGGTGCCTAATACAATACCGTGACTGACAAGAACACAAAGTAACCAGCAATGTCCTTGACAGTGTCCACTGATGGGACATGACTGTCTCCAAGGTACTGGCACAGGATTCTGGGCACACTGGAATATGCCACCAACAACCCCAAAAGAAGCATAGAAATGTGCTGGCTCAGCTCTGGTCACCAGTGACAGACACCAAAGTGGATTTAAAGGACACAATTATAGGGTAAAAAGAGAACTGGGACATGAGCACGTGCAAAAGGCTGAAATCTCTGGCCAAATGACACTAGCTGGTCAACTACTGCTAAGAGCAGATGGAAAAGTCTGTCCAATCACCAGCCTATACCTCCCACAAGTCTGTCCAATCACCAGACTGTACCGCCCATAGGTCTGTCCAATCACCAACCTGTACCTCCCACAAGTCTGTCCAATCACCAGCCTGTACCTCCCACAAGTCTGTCCAATCACCAGCCTATACCTCCCACAAATCTGTCCAATCACCAGCCTGTACCTCCCACAAGTCTGTCCAATCACCAGCCTGTACCTCCCACAAGTCTGTCCAATCACCAGCCTG